GCTGTTGAAACTGATCAGTTTCAGCAGCGGCTGAATCTGGACGCCAGTTCCGACTTACATACAGATTCAACTTAAGAACAAACCTACAGTCCCTATCTTGTACGTAACCCGAGGACTGCCTGTATACATAATAGAACCCAGAATTTTTTTCCAAGTTCATATATTCATTCTTAAGACACTTTGGAGAATTGTGTTTGTCCGCTGTTGAAACTGATCAGTTTCAGCAGCGGCTGAATCTGGACGCCAGTTCCGACTTACATACAGATTCAACTTAAGAACAAACCTACAGTCCCTATCTTGTACGTAACCCGAGGACTGCCTGTATACATAATAGAACCCAGAATTTTTTTCCAAGTTCATATATTCATTCTTAAGACACTTTGGAGAATTGTGTTTGTCCATGGTACTATTTAATCCATTAATTAAAATATTTTATACCTTTTCCATTTAGATTTATGTCTATCACATCCCATTAAATAATGGATAGGTATGTTGTCTATACAGGCAGTCCCCGGGTTACATGGATCCGACTTACATCGGATCCCTACTTACAAACGGGGTGAGGCAACCCCGCACTAGCTGCTTCCCTCCAGCAGACCAGGGAGATGCGGAGCAGCTTTTCTCAGCAGACACCTCAGCTTAAGAATAAAGGACTGAGGGAAGTGAGGTGTGGGAGAATAAAACTGAGCTCTGGAGAAATGTTTGGCTAGAGTTTCCCCTACAATATTTACCAGTTCCGACTTACATACAAATTCAACTTAAGAACAAACCTACAGTCCCTATCTTGTACATAACCCGGGGACTGCCTGTATAATAAATGTGTGCAGGATTTTCACAGTAGACAGAGAGGACTACATGACTGTTATGGATTCTAAAAGAAGGAAATATGTCTTTGCTAGTGCTGTGTTGAAAGCACTCAGTCTGATTATTTGCATAATAGAATTATAATTGTTGTCGCTTTAAAAAAGATCTTCAGGACATCCAAAAATGGTTTGAAATCCTGATGTTTCTAATTCCAGAATTTAGTAATGAAGTTAAAAATCTCTTTCTCCTTTATGAGCCATACATCAGAAATTGCTTTTCTAGGTGTTCCTGCCCCAAACTTTTGTAGATGTATACTTTTGACTTCTGTTTTGAATTGATTTAACACATGACTTTGTGTCACATAAACCACGCAACATTTTAGAAGGCATTTTTCCCCTCCAACTATTCTTATATTACAGTATTAACAATATTATGTTAGTGTGTCAGGGAAAAATCTCCTGAGCAAAGGATTATTTTATTTAGGGCAAACAAAATAAAACAATTGGCAAGAATGGCATGTAAAGAGGGAACAAAATGGTTGTGTTGAAATGGCATTTCTGAGTAAGAAATGGCTTTCTGCTAAAAGTCATGTTCGCTTTTTCAGGCGGAAAGACCACAAACTGGGAAGGAGGTATTCGTGTGCCAGGTCTTCTGCACTGGCCAGGAGTGATACAAGCGGGTGTCAGTATTGATGAGCCTACAAGTAACATGGATATATTCCCTACAATTATTAAACTTGCAGGGATACCATTACCCAATGACAGGTATGGTATACATGTATTCTACACAGAATTTTTCATGGACATTTCCCTCTTTGCTAGGTTTTAGGTTTTGGTTTTTTGTTTGTTTGGGGTTTTTTTAGTGGGAGATAAACATGGACAAAGTCTGGATTTGAAATTTCATTATTTGAGCATTATTTACAATAGTAAAATGTATTTTTTTATAAAGCTGTTATGGTACATTTTATAGCCGGGTTGTCCACAAAATCACTACAATTGTATGGAGTTTCTTTCCTAAAGTAAGTCATATAATTCATTTAATAGATGTTATTTTAAATGAAAATTTAAATTCTGTTTCTTCACTATCTTCTGTGGGGTGATCCCTTTGCGAATCCTAGTTCCATTGTCACACCACCCTATAGACTAATCCTTCACCACTGATGTCAATGAGTGCTGTGTCCATGGAGGTAATATGTCCTAGAAGATAATGAACTAGTTTGGAACTCAAGAAAACTGGGTTCTATTTCTAACTTTGCCCTTCACATCCTGAGTGACTTTGGGCGAGTGACTTTGGGCGAGTGACTTTGGGCAAGTCACTTTCCCTCCATATGCCTCAAAATTTTCCCACCTGTAATATGGGGATTATGATACTGAACTCCTTTGTAAAATGCTTTGAGAGCTATAGATATAAAGTTCTGTAAAAAATACTAGCTTTATTCAAGGGATGCCAGATCAGGTTCGATGTTCTAGATCATCCCCCTACTATTTGCCTAAATTATACAAAACAATGAGTAGCTTGAGAAGAAACAGTCCTCTTCCTGCAGTTACTCAGTACGAGATCAATGGAGTGCTCAAAGAAATTAAATCCACCAGTAGAAATTTAGAACAGGTAAAAGGAAATAGCCCTTATTTAGATAATCACAAATATACAAAGGTCACTACTAAGGAACACATTCTGATCTAAGCCAATGGAAAGCATTGACTGTTATGGAGTTACTTTGTACTTATACAAGAAGCAGAGGTACAATCTAGTCCTAAGGAGAAACACTGAGAGAAGCAATTTAGTGATGTTTAAGCAGTGGTTAAAGTTAAATAAAAATGCAAGGGTGCTTACCTGTTACCTGGTTATATGTTCTTATTGGTGTGCAGATTAATGGACTCTCTTGTTTCATTTCAGTGTTGTCTTAATAAAGCACCTGCTCCTTTAGTAACTGCAGGTTTCTCTCATCTTTGCTCCTTATACTGACATCAACCAGTGGAGTGACAATGCATCTTCTGTAATGCAACATGGAATATGAAAGACAGTACTCTGACAATGCACCATATGATCTCTGTTGACTGGTGTGCTAAGAGGAGTAGACTAAATCTCTGTCCATTCCCCATCTGTGCTCAGTTATTCTCCTCTACTCACCCAAGCTAGTGAATTTGTAGCACCTCAACTTCTCTGCAGCTAAACCCAAAGCCACACTGTCTTTCTGATGGGGCATATTTCCCTATATGTGTCTGCATGGTTGTGCAGCCCTAAACATCTTACCCGTTTCAGATTATTTGATGTTAGTAGTGTTCATTTAAACAGCTTATCTGTCACTCCCAGTGAAGTGATATTCCAAATTAATTATGGCTTTTAAAGTAAAAAAATTGCAGGGTTTTCTTCCCATGGGAAAAATACGAACTACTTTGTGAGGTGACTATTTTAAGTGTCCATTAAAACTCACACTAGATAGCTGTAGAATTAGCGAATCATATGTTGTTAGAATATTCAGGCTACTCTGAGTTCACTAAAGCAGGGTCACTTTTTAATTTTACATGGCAAAAATGAGCACCAGCTGATACATTAGACTGGTATTTCTTCACTGATGCAGTGAAGAGGCACTCTGCTGCTGATGATTTATAGAGCACTTCTAGTAACAGACAAGACAGGTAGAGGATATGAAAAATTACAGGCTTGCCCTGGGACATCATTTACAAACAATCACTGTCAGACCCTTGATGGTCTTGAGGTGTGTAGATTGTATGTACATAGCGCTTATGCTCCAACTAGTTTCTCTGCTTTAACCTCTGTTCTCACACTGCTTTGTAGCTACCTCAATCCTTGTAGATGAGGAAGAGTGGAAAAATTGCATGCCATAATTCCTGCTCCACAATATCTCAAAACAGGTTACTGTGCCTTGCACGATGTACCCTAGAAGCTGATTCACTCACCAACAGGCCTTTGAATTCATTTCAGAAAAGAAAAAAAAAGCCAATAGATAGCCTTGGATCTGAGAGGAAGCTACATATCTGAGAGGAAGACCCAAAAATGAATGTCTGTCTAGGAGGGGGAAGATAGCAGAACCCACCCCCTTCTGACTGTAGCTACCAGGTTGTGGGAGGGATTACATAGAAGAGAAACACACACCTTTACCAAAGGCGGCTGGAGAAGGATAGCAGACGGACCTTCTTCTCCTATACTCATCCTGGCAGCAGTCAATAAGTAGGAAAGGAACTGAATAAAGGGATTGGTCCTTTTATTCCTCTTGAGTATGAAAAGGTCCTGCAGATTGTGTCTGTTTCTGTGATAGCCAACCCCCGCTCCAGAATATCTCTGCTGCTGCTTCAGCTGCCTATCATGTGATTCTGATTCCATGAATCAGGACCCTAGGGCATAGGAAAAGAGTTTCTAATTTTATCAGATACTAACTAGCCTGCAAGTAATCTAAAAAATGGCAGCCTAATTGGAGGCCAGAAACAACATTGTGATAGAAGCCCCACTATCTTCTCCCTTCTCATTCACTAGAGGTGAGTACTGAGTACTGGCTCCATTATTTCCAAACTTTTTTCATCAGTTTCTGGCCAGTAGGTTTAATTTCCCATGTAGTAAATATTTGACAATTTATATCATAAATAAAATTTACGTAGAAGCTTAAACATTAAGCTGTTTTAAAAACTGTTTTTATAAGATGCCTTTCAAAAAAGCTGAAAGAATAATAACCTTGCTGATCAATGTACCGTATATACTCGAGTATAAGCCGACCTGAATATAAGCCGAGGCACCTAATTTTACCACAAAGAACTGGGAAAAAATATTGACTCGAGTATAAGCCTAAGGTAGGAAATGAGGCAGCTACTGGTAAATGTAAAAAATGAAGATAGATGCCAATAAAATTACATGAATATTTATTTCAAAGTAAAACAATAACCTAGCTCTGTAAGTGGGAAAGGGGGTCAACAAAAACAATATGGTATCAAAAATACCGTAACTTTAAAAGTACAACAACCTTAGCTCAATCAGCAAGCAAGCTCAATCAGCTCCCCATAGCTCTTTTCCTCAGGTGTCCCGGCTTCCTAGCTGTTTTCGTGTTTTTAGCTGAGGGAAACTTGCAGATGGCAACTCCCTCTCCACATATACCATTCCCCCGACACAGAGGATAAAATATTTCCACAATCCCTGGGCAGATCCTGCTTTCCATAAGGATTTTATCCTTTCCATTCAGGCCCCTTACCTTATCTCTTCTCTTCAGCCTGCGCCGAGCCGCGCTTCTGCCTCCGGACCCGCCCCCTGCCCACAGCACAGTGACAAGCCAATCACTGGCAGTCACTGTGCAGCCAACAAGCCTATGTATGTGCGCTGTTCATCGCACATACATAGAGCTTTCAGACCTCAGAAATTGACACGAGATACTTTGATGATGAATTTACAGCGCAGTCCATAACAATAACACCTCCTGACAGTGTATGTGTGTGAATTAATCTCTTCTAAAAACTGTTGTAAAACTTGTATTTCACACTGTCAAAACTTTAGATTGTGATTATTTTTTTCCTGTCAGTTCATTCTAGTGATTTGACTTAATGAATGGAAACAGTCATGTTTTACTAATTATATACATCCTTTTCCATCTAAATGGAAAAATTCCTTCAAAGTGTGATCAGATATATCCAGCAATTAGAGAAGCTTTTTATGTGATGACCATCCCTTAATATATATTTTGAAAATTGTTCATTTCAATTTTGTATTCATGGTTTAGTTCAGCACATCAAATATATTCATGTAATTCCCCAGAGGTTACTGGTCATGAAAGATAGGACAGAGCCAATGGCATGCAATCAAGATTTCACTTAGCTGTTCCATAGCTACTAAATAAAGCTAGTCCTATAAGTAGCGTTAATGACTGTGTACGTTTATGTACCTAGAGGACCATGGTGGCAGAAATGTATATATATAGTGCATATATTCTCAGACCAAAAATAGAGAAAATGGGGTGGGAGAGCCAACTATCCTCAAAAGGCAAAATGCAAAATTAAAATTCCTGTGAATAATGTAGAACTCAAAGAGAAAAAATGCCTACAGGCTTTGTTCCAAATTCACCAACATGTGTCACTTCAAGTCTTGAAAAGAAAGCTACCTCTAACACTCCAGCCTTCATGGTGGAATAGTGTTTCCACTGTCTATTAAGAAATGGAAATGCACAGTTAGTTTCTTCTCAGCCAGCCCTGGCTTGTGTTATTCTCTCTGACTTTGAAATGCTTTCTTATTCAGAATTATTGATGGACGTGATCTGATGCCCTTGCTTCAAGGGAAAATTCTCCGATCCGAGCATGAATTTCTCTTCCATTACTGTAATGCATATTTAAATGCAGTGCGCTGGCATCCAGGAAACAGTAAGTAAACTTGCCTGTTCACATTTTAAATATTTCATATAATTTTTATTGCAACTTGAAAAGAATCAGAAAAAAAGCCCTAGGCTGTGATTGCAAATAAATTGCTTAAAGTATTGGGTTTTCTCTTTTTTTATATAGCTTTCTCCATTTTTTTTATTACAAAAACACACCTGTCTACACAACCAATTTATTATTTGGCATTAATTTGATGCTGCACAACAAAATTTTATATCAACACAGACCTGAGACCTGAATGAAGCATATAGTGAATGAATATATTTTCTGAATATATTATTTATTTGTTTACATGACATTACATTTGAGTCAGGGTCTGAAAATATGTCTTTAAGAAAATTACAGCTAATAGGAATGTTTGCTGAATAGCTTGGTGGGTATTATGCCAACTTGACAATTTTTACTATTGAAAGGAGCCAAATATAAAAGCACCACTAGGATAAAGTCACAAATCCCATGAGAATTATTATACTTTTCATGCTTTTATGTACACTATAATTGTGCTTTGAAGGCCAAAGAACTAAAAATTGCACACTGGCCTTTTTTTTTCCCCCATCTAAGTTTTCATTGTGACAGCTGCCATACTAACGTCAACATGTTGCCCGTCTTATAAAAGTCCCTGTGCTGAAGGAGTCATTCATTCATTGAGGTGACAATCTGCAGTACTTGTCTCAGGTCAATTGACACTCATGGTGACAAAGTATAAAAAGAATTGTGACATGACACATACTTTTTGCATTGGACATCACCGTTTCAGTGCTTTGCAGCAGGATTGTTAGCCTATCAGGAGAGGTGGATTTAAGACTCTGATGTGTAAACCTCAACTATTTTGGAGGTTTGGCTGAATTATCATCATTTATACATTTGAAGGCATACCCAAAATTTTCCAAGATCACCTTGGATTGCATATGAGGATGAAAATCCTGCAAAATGACAGGAATGATGCAATTAAAAACAAATAGCAAGACACTATACATATAAGTAAAGCTTCAGGTTATATTTCAAGTGTTATATTTGAGAAATAGTACATGGTATTAAGGGTATTGTAATGTGCAACCATGCAACAAAAAGATGTGATTATGCTATTAGGTACAACACAGCATCCAGGGCAGGATATAACTGCACTGTCCCAAAGGGGAATTCAGTGTTTCTCTGAATTTCCAGGTATGTTTGCTCGCTACAGGTGCATCTACACAGCAGGTCTTAACTCAAAATAAGCTACTCAAATTGAGCTACATCATTTGCGTAGCTTATTTCAAAATTGGGAGCATCTACATAGAACTTATTTCAAAATAGAGCACTCTTCCTTCGACTTCTCTTACTCTTTGTACAATGTGAGTTACAGGAGTCAGGGTAAGAAGTCCTCCCTCCTAATAGCATTTCGACATTATTTTGAAATAACTGCCTGCTATATAGACGTGGACTAAGATATTTCTAAATAACACTAATTATTTCGAAATAATGCTGCTGTGTACATACATGAGACACTGTATGGGATATATGGGACACTTTATAATATTATTAATACTAATATTAAAAAAATTCAGTAAATTGTGCCAGATGCACTGTGCGAGATATCTGTGAAAATTTTATAATTTGCCAAGTTTGATAATCTTGTTTAGATGGTTGTAGCACGATTATGAGTTATAGATATGAAGGTGTGGCAGTGTATGCATACCCTGTAATGAAAAACAGGGGTGACTGGTGTGTATGGACACTGTTACTACCTCTCCCTATCTGTTGGTGACCTAAGTCAGTCCATCACCCCAAGGAAGTACAGCCTAATGGCTAGAGTGTATAGAGCAGCCTTTGTTTGCAGGGCAGGGCAGTCCAATGGTCCATACTGAGGGATCTGTCACTAGAAGGAGGTGTTGGGGCAGCAGCCCTGCTTGGGAGGGCCAGGACTTAACCAACTCCACCAGCCCTAACCCAGGGCCTTGGCAGTAGTGGAGTGATCCACCATTAGCTCAGTGGGGAATCCTACCAAAACATGCTGAGCTTACTTGGGTGGGACAGAGCCCTCGTATACTGTCCCTGAGTCACTTCCTACAGTCCCTGGTGGTGGGGCAATCCGTGAAGCTTCAGGAGCCTTTGAATTCTTTTAAATTTATTTTAAAATGATTGTTTGTTCTTATTTAGATACGAATAAAGTATTAGGAAGTCACTTAAAGTGTTTTGTAGCCTTTGGGAGACAGTGCAAGGGGAATGTCATTTCTACTCACTGCCTGTCAAGATGGATCAGGTTATTAATTGAGATGTGCTATTCTTTAACTGAAAATCTGACCATCTCTTTGGTAGGCTTATGGTGGCATCAAGGGCCTGCTTTCATGCTGTTTCCATCTTAGAAAGCAGGGGTTGCTACCGGAGCCACTCACATATTTAAACATGGCATGTAGGTCTGATGCTCATTTAGGGAGGGCAGTTTGGCAACGCTTGCTTAATTAGAACTTCTCAGTCCACCTTCTTGGGGTTTGTAACTAGACTCTGACAAATGGGAATATGCAGAGATCATCTTTCAGAAGAAAGGTTGCTTTGCAGTGATAACTCTCAACATATTCACACTAACTGCTGACCATCCCTAATACTCACTAGGAATCTGAGGTTTAATGGAAGGAACTCAGGTGGCTGGAGTTGGGGAAAGGCATGACCTATATGAACTTGGCTTTGAACATTCAGTACCACAAAAACTCACTTGTGTAATTCCAACGGCTTTCGTAGAGTATCTAAGTGAGTCGGCCCACATGTATTAATATTCTGAAGCAACACCTTTGAAAAATTCTAATTCCTGGTATTTAACCTGTCTTTTTCGCCTAATTGGACATCATCTTCAGTGCTCAGGATTCTGAATCATTAAACATTTATATTTTAAAAGAGCATAATCAATGACAATGTAGCTTCCACTTTTAAAGCCACCTAAGATTTTGTATAATGTTCTGGTCACGGTGTATGTCAGAATGTGCTTTGGCCTAATTTAACTTGATCAAATACTATTGTTCTGCTGATGCGAACAGACTGGTACTTCTGTATTGTGGATTGCTTTTCTTTGTTAAAGTTACAATTTACATAAAAGAATACTGTAAAAAATGTCAAGAGTTGCTGCTCTGGAACTTCGCTAGCATAAGAGTTAGTGCTATTAAAATGCACTGCTATGACAACATAATTATTAGTACTGCATTCATCAAATAAAAAAACTTATCTTTGGTTGCATGGTGTGGTTGTATATTGCAACTCAGAGGGCATGTCTAGACTACATCCCTCTGTCAAAAGTGGGATGTAAATGAGTCTGATCGAAAGTGCAAATGAAGCACTGATTTAAAGATCCTGTGCTTCATTTGCATATTCATATCCAATCGCTGTTTTGAAAAAGGGTATTTCTTTTGGAAAAAAACCCTTTTTCAGAAGAACCCGTACGCCTGAAAAAATGAGGAGTACAGGTTCCTTTGAAAAAGGGTTTTTTTTCCAAAAGAACCATGTCTAGAGTACGGTTACACCTTCAAAATACCGTTTTTCGAAACAGCAATCGGACGCAAATATGAAAATGAAGCACGTAATATTTAAATCCGCGCTTCATTTTCACTTTCAATTGGGCTCCTTTATATCCCTCTTTCGACAGAGGGATATAGTCTAGACATGCCCAGAGGTCTGTTCTGTCACTGTGATCATCATTCCATTAATGTAAGTGGGAAATACACTGCACACGCTGTTCAGGAAACACATGTGTGCTGTGCAAATATTCTGGAATACAACACAACACACAATATATTACAAAGAAATAACATCCTAATGGTATTTTAGCACTATATGTAAACATATATTGATAAATGTCAAAATGATTGCACTAACAACAGTTCAGCTTTTGTATTACAAATCTGGGGTTTAGTTTCATTTTTGTGTTTAGTAGAAATCTTTACTGACTTATCTAGGATGAACTAGTTCAACTTCTTTTTTTAAACTAGACAATAAAGTAAACCAGCACTTTTATTGCCTTTTTGCTCTCTTCCCCTACCTCCATAGAAGATTGCTTCTCATACCAAAACTGCGAGTTTCAGTATAGATAATTTAAGGGCCTTTCCATAACAAATTAAATTGCAATTAAATGCCAATAAATTCAAAACAGTGCATCATGTGAACATGAAAATTGGATAGAAAGGGGAAAACAGTTCACTGAGATATGTTAATCTGCATTAACAGAGGGAAAGAATCTACTAATCTCAGTGCTGTATTGCCTCTAGTGCTGACACACAAAGTAAAGGGGGAATGCTCAAGTTATCAGCTTTAAAAATGTAAATGAAATTTTTAGCAGCTCTCTCTACAAGAACAACATGAAAAATAATTGATTGTGAAAAATGCCAGTTTTGAACCTTGTTCTTTTAATTTGTAATTTAGAGATGCCTCACTCATCAGTGTTAGTCAATAATAGAGAAATGCAAAGTGCTCTACTTAGGAAGGAACAATCAGTTCCATACATACAAGATGGGAAGCGACTATCTAGGAAGGAGCATGGCGGAAAGGGATCTAGGGGTCATAGTGGACCACAAGTTGAATATGAGTCAACAGTGTGATGCTGTTGCAAAAAAAGCAAATATGATTCTAGGTTGTATCAACAGGTGTGTTGTAAGCAAAACTCGTGAAGTCATTCTGCCGCTCTACTCTGCGCTAGTTAGGCCTCAGCTGGAGTACTGTGTCCAGTTCTGGGCGCCACATTTCAAGAAAGATGTGGAGAAATTGGAAAGGGTACAGAGAAGAGCGACAAGAATGATTAAAGGTTTAGAGAACATGACCTATGAAGCCAGGCTTCATGAACTGGGCTTGTTTAGTTTGGAAAAAAGAAGATTAAGGGGGGACATGATAGCTGTTTTCAAATATCTAAAAGGGTGTCACAAGGAGGAAGGAGAAAATTTGTTCCTCTTGGTTTCTGAGGACAGGACAAGGAGTAATGGGCTTAAAGTGCAGCAGGGGAGGTTTAGATTGGACATTAGGAAAAA